TTTGGAGTTGTTTATAAAGGGTTTCTCAGGAATGGAATGAATGTGGCAGTGAAAAGAAGTGAGCCAGGATCAGGTTAAGGACTTCTTGAATTTCAAGCTGAGATAATGGTTTTGTCCAACATTCAAATTTTCTACTTTTAATATTGTATGCCACTGAGTGTTAATTTTGGTTGGTGTGGTGAATATTTAAAAAACGACAGTGCAAGACATTCGGACCAGTTTGTTGGACTGGTAGCCAGAGTCTACTCGCATCGAATAGAAGTGGTATGGTTTGCCTGTATATGGAGCATTTCTAAGGCAAGAAATGGAAAACTTTTTAATAGGCGTAGGCTTCGAGCAGTGCTGGCTCGGAAACTGCAGCATTGGTGGAAATGTTGCAAAATTTCAGAAACATTTAATGTGGATGAAACTAAATGGTAGTAGGAATGATATATTAAAAGAAAGACACAAAGCTCAAACAATTATGCGAAAGCATGTATACATGAACATGTTTCTATTGTACCCAAACAACGAAAGTAATAGGAAACAATGCAATTGTTTTAAAACATAAAATAAACCAAAACTAATACTTAGCATAATAAAATTAAGTTGTTTCCATGATAAACTAAAGCTTAATAAACAGCAGTTTGTGTTCCATCTTTATATCAATTTTTCCTCCTTGATTGGTTTTGTCATCTTTGTTGAGGAAAGTTGAACACTTTCAACATCTTCTGCTACATCGGTTATTCTTCTCTTCGACGGTGTCAGCCCCGAATTCGCAACAGAAGGATCATAATCTGCAGATGCAGACAATGGTTCCTGCAATATTTTAAGAAACATTGATTAATGATAATATGCAGCAAGCAATGTTGTACTTAATGTAATCAAAGACAAAAGTATATACTTACAGAAAACTCCTCAAATCCTCTTGCGAGGAAGGCTCCGATACGCCAAGCTTCGATGCTACCTGTCAAGACATAATTGAATCAGAAAAACGATTTATTATACCAAAGTTGTTTCAGCGGCATAATTAATTTAGTCTTCAAACAAAACATACCTCTTCAGATTTGAAATTGTCCCGTATTTTCTTATGTGTTTCTTCATCGTCTTTGAACCCAATAACTGAGAGTCTTCCAAACTTTGGCTGAAAAACAGCTCTAATAGCTAATTCCTTTTTCAATAAAGCATCAAGTTCATATGGGAATTCTCAAGGATTGTCTTCACCTTCCTAAATTAATTCATCCAAAGGAAATATAAAATTAATAGCTAAAATTGATTAACAGTTGGAGAAATGATAAAATTATAACTAAAATAATAAAAGTGCAACATGTAATGGACAACGTCAAATTGTAACTAAAATCCACGGTTGGAGAAATGATTCAAATGAATAATACCTCTATCAATTCAGTCTTAATTTGCAAAGCAGACTTTCCAATTAATTTCACACAGTCGCTGTCCCAAAAGATTAATCGGGCCTTGAATTTCCCATCAATTCCCATAATCTCAAGCTTGTATCTATAAGAATTAAAGTAGGTAATTAAATAATATTACATAGTGAACAACAATGGACTACATTATTCAAACAGGTACAGAACATAATGTTTTAACTCACACCTCGGTATGGTTTCAGTCGTTATATGATTCGCATAACACTTCAAATTTCCTTCCTTCAGAGACACACTTTTAGTACAGACACCACAACCATCGTAATACCACCCCGCCTGGCCAGCCTCAAATTTGTCCAATGTCGCAACGGTCACACAGGTTGTCTCCTATGGAATAAAGAATGCGAAATAAATATATCATATACAAAGTTATGAGATAAATAAAATATTTACTTAATTTAAGCTTACATATTGAAGACTTGAGATTTCAGCCAGACTAAGAATTTCTGCCTTCCATATAAACTTATCAAATTCAGTATACTGTGAGTTTTGGGTGGTTTCAACTTGCAAGGTAGACTGCGATAACTTTGGCAAATCATTTTGAAGACTGTGATGTATAACACAGTGAAAAAAACAATACATAAAATGTTATTAGCGGTTATAATGGATATCAAAATTGTATACATGAACGGGATTTGACCAACAAAAAATTAACTACCTTTCTTTCAGCTTACTAATTTCAACGACGCTAACATCATTGATAGTTAACTTAGTGCCATTCCATGCGTTGGATACATTCAAAGGGAAACCACCTTTGATATATAAAAAAACAATACCGTAAGCATGTGATCAATCCACATATTACTTCAATGGAGATGATTTAATTTGTAATCAATTTAATACATCAGTAAATAAATATTATGCAGCCCAATTAACACTACCTTGGGCGCCCTTTATCCTTGCATTCTGCAATAGAACAACAACATTTCCTTCTTCATTATGAGTCTTGTAATATTCATAAAACTACAAAGCCAATTGTCCCCATAAAGTACACTGAACGAAAGATTTGCTGCCAGGAAAACAGATCCAATAAAAATGAAGTCAAAGAATAAAATTGCACAATATGTAAAAAAAACTATAACCATACCTCATATCGGTTATTACAAACACAGCCTTGCTTTTGTTATTATCAGCATTGATTTGAGTTTGCACAATCTCAGTAACTCCTCCAACAACATCTAAGCAAGATCAAATTTCAAAAGTTATCAAACATCCAAGAAATCAACGAAATAAGGTAATATAAAGATATGAATAAACGTACCAACCAACAAATTAGACTGAAACTTTTCATCAACAATGGTGTCCAACCCAATAATGTTTAAAAAATTTACAGGAATGTCAGGTAATCCTGTTTTCCTAATAAAAGTTGAACCACAAAAGACCAACTTGAAACCATGAGTACTTGATTTGAATGAGAAATCATTATTCGAGACTTTGAAATTCTGCATTATGTATGACCCTCCAATAGCAAGTTCAGCCAAGTATCTTGACACCAAAAGCGGTGGGACAATGGCTTGAATCATATCCAGCTGCAAAATGTAAAATTAACCGTGGGAAATTAGAACGATTAATTTAAACCTCCAACATCATATATTAACAAAAAAAACCCTAATATTTATACATTTGAATCAACCAAAATGAGTTCCAAGTGTTGTTTGTTGGATGAACTTGTCACAGTCCACATATGTTTACAACGTATGTTTACAACGAACAACAATCTTCCACAAATCCTTTGAGTCGTTGATGTCTTTCACAGCTTCAATCGGTCGCGTCATTGAAGAAGAATGCATGGGAAGTTGTGATATCTTGAAATATCAAAATAATTCATTCTAATTTCAATAATATACATTTAATCTTGTAGTGTAATGATAAATAGTGAGTATTTTAGAATTCAAATTCTGTCAAAAAAAACATTGGAATTCAAATATAAATAAATTAACCGTGAATGAAACATTGGATTTGGAATTCAAATATAAATAAAATTCAAATATAAATAAAATAAATTAATAAATCAAATAAATAAAAAATAGTGTAAAATTATGATAGATTGACATGTCAGCAAAATTAAATGTTTGAGTCGTTGATGTCTTTCACAGCTTCAATCGGTCGCGTCATTGATGTTACTATTTAGACCTGTTGCAAAATCTGTATTAAAATGGACACAGAGAATCAAAATATGGGAATGAAGAATTGGAAAATAATACGTAACCTTTTAAAAATAATGGAAATTGAAGAAGATTGAGGAGTGAAAGAGTAAGGGTTTAGAATGACTATATATATAGGGTTTAGAATGCATGGGAAGTTGTGATATCTTGGAATATCAAAATAATCCATTCTAATTTCAATAATATACATTTAATCTTGTAGTGTAATGATAAATAATGGGTATTTTTAAATCATGCAATGAATAATATTCCATTTAATTATAATAGATCTAATTTGGCCATTTCAATTCCTTCCTCATTAACCATTAACCGTGAGTCAAACATTAGAATTCAAATTCTGTCAAAAAAACATTGGAATTCAAATATAAATAAATTAACTGTGAATGAAACATTGGAATTGAAATTCAAATATAAATAAAATTCAAATATAAATAAAATAAATTAATAAATCAAATAAATAAAAAATAGTGTAAAATTATGATAGATTGACATGTCAGCAAAATTAAATGTCAAATGAATATGGTAACAGCATAGTGTTGATTAGTCTATTATACCATTGGAATAAGAAAAGTTATAACATCTAATCAAAAGGTTAGACTTGGAATTTCCAAGTACTTTACTTTTAATAGATTGATAATAGATAATAGATTTTAATGCTTCATCTTCTTTACTCAACCAACAGTGTTTTAATGTTCTCTTATTGTCTCTTAACAATAGTACTAGGGAAAAGCCTCAGACCAAGAAAATGGTTGCTTTCACTCCATTAACTTCTTATGTATATAACATCTTATTTTAAATAAATTCCTAAAAGTGATTACCTAAAAACTAATTCTCCACTTGCAAATAATTCCAAGATCAAGTAGCTTCATCACTTCAATTCCTGTTATAACATGATTTAAGAGGAGGAAAACCTTCTACAAATGCATATGCCTTAATTTTTCAACAAAAAATAGATCTCAATTCAGAAGACCCAAAAATGGAACCCAATTTAAAGTCATAAAAATGATACATCTATCATGAAAGCCATTGAATCTCATAACAAAAGAGCGTGAAATGAGAAAGAAAAAAAACAGAATCTTGCGAGGAAGACAAAAGAGCTCGTGCGATAAATATTAGAGCTTTGGTGAGATAAAACTAAAAGATCCATAGACAGATCTGAAGAAACCATGGATAGTGGAGAGACAAAAACAACAAAACTGCATACTTGAATTGCAATGATTTTTTTTATATTTAATTTTTTTTATACAAAGAGATTATTGTTCCACGTTCTTTTAATGACTTTGATTTGCATGCATACATACAACAGCCGCTAATTTAGACAGAAGACATCAATTGTGCTATAAGTGAAGCAGAGAAGCAAATTCTTATCCCTAGTGTATAACATATCTCATCTTAACAATTTTATTTAAACTTATGTAAAAAACTCTTTCAAATAATGAGGTCCAGGTTTGAAGGGATCAGACTCGGAATACGCCTCTGGACGGTAAAATCCAGCATCATTCACTCGATTACTCAAAGCATGAAGAATGGCTTTCTTCTCACCTCCATACTCATCCGTGTTGCTCTCAACATAAGCACTGGCCTCAGCTGCTATCTCATTCACAAAATCATACCTATTATCTTCTGATAACAGTAACTTCTCTATGTCCAATTGCAAGAGCTTTCCCTCATCCTTTATCTTCCTCACCTGTTCCTCCAGAAAAGGAATGCGCTCCATTCTGAAGGGCAAAGATTCGTCCTTTTTTGTCTGCAGCAAAATGAATTTCTGATTAAATATTCAAGTTTATTGTGTGTCATATGCGAGAAAGATGTGCCAAAAGCATAAGTCTTGGATACTATCATTCATCAGCACAATCACTCGCACTCATTCAGTCAAGTTAAACCGGAAAAAAGAAAGAAAAACATGGCAGAAAAGAAGTAAAGACAAGAATAAAATCGAATCTGGCTTATCTTTATCACAGAAAATACGTTACCGTTTTACACATCAATATATTCAAAGCAACAGACACCTCAGCAGCAGCGATTGCTAGCATAAAGTTTACGTATATGGCAAAGAATCGGCAAGAGAAGGAAGCAAGGTGGTGATATCATGCAAAAACAAAGACATGAAAGCATATGGTTAACGAGAAGGTTCAAATGTGAAACAAATGATGTGAAAAGAACAAAGTGGCGTGCACTGTGACTTTTTATCCTCTCTTGGCTTTTCTCCTCCTTAGTCCCTGTTATGCTACCTTTTGGCTTACTGTGTTCTTCTTTAATGAATCACTAGAGACACTTGTGAATTGTGACACTTACTTTTTTTCCATTAAGATTTCACACACAGTTCAAACAGTACTTGGTTCTTTTTGTTTTGTTTCCTATGTTTCCCCGTGCAACATTACATCGCGAACGTCGTAGCATGTTTACTTGGAACAGCACGAAGCTATAACATAATGTAAGATGCAAAATTTAAATTGCATTTGACACATGATTAAGAATAGGAAAAGCAGAAAATCTTTCAGAATTTGATCCAAGCTTTCAAAAGATTTCACAGCTTGAAGCAAATAAGACCGATGAGCCGACAGCAGTAATGCTAAGGTTCACACGTCAACCTCTAGCTAGTTAGCGGTAACATTTAAAGTTCAAATAGGAGTAATTGCCACGATCTGACATACCACTAAGTGGGCACTTATTTTTAAGGTTTCTCTATAAATACCAGTTCGAAATATGTAATAGGGGTTGAGTATTCACTTACTGAAGCCCACTCTTAAACTAGAAACAGATTCGAGCTCTCATAAACGAAATATGTCCTCCAAAATTATTTTCTGATGTATTCAAATTCCAATTCTAAACTAAGTAGTCGATCCTTTCATCATTTACTTTGTTCGAGCATTTAACTAATTCCTTCTAAGTTCTTCAAGATTATTCATGCCTTCTTTGCAGTTCTTAATAGTTTTTCAATGTTGATGAAAATCTTCACGCATTTACACTTTTGTTCTTTGTTCTTCAAATGCTTTTCTCTAAATTCATGTTATATAGTACACGTTTATTTTATTAATTTACCATTTAGAAACCATTTGCAACTATTTGGTAACAGCCAGTTGTTTTTATTGTAAATTCATAATCCTTAAATTTGTTTCCTTCTCAACTTCTACAGTTCTAAAACATCATCAGTCAAACCATTGATGTTGATTATGTTTTCCTAATTGTCAAAACACACAAGTAAGCTTGCCACATAAATAATCAAATGGACTAAACATTCATTTAGTGTCAGATAGATTTGGTAGATTACTTAGTTAGCCGGATATCTATGTAAACAGATACCCTCATATCCTATGTTCCCTTGCAACATCACATTACAAATGTTGTAGCTGTTTACACAGAACACCCGGAAGCTAAACAAACTCGAGATTCACTAATTATGTTTCACAATTAAGCACAATCCAGTAAATTGGTCCATCACAATGCTTTAAGCTCTTTAACAGTTTAACCTCTACCCCTAACTTTCCAACTTTAGAATGCTTCAACTAAAATTCTATATCAATTGATGAAATCCATGTTGATCTCATTTAAATAAGGAGTTATCTCATTCATTTCATTATAATATTATTTGGGAAATTTATACAAACAGGTAAGAGGCATGCATAAAGAAACCCACAAAAACCAAACATGGATGAAAATTATACCATTTTCCTTCGCCTCCAGATTCTTCTTCCACCACTCTCCTTTCGCATTTGGATTATCATCTTACAAACAAATGCATGAACAAGTTCAGTTAAATGTATCAAACGAAAATTCAAGGTTTTCCAAAGTTATTGTAAATTTACCTGCGAGTTAACACTGAAGCTTGGGCTCCGGGAATTTCCAGCTCTTAACTCTATCTTCTGCAGAAAAAATAGTTTATGCGTTTTGATTATGAAATTAAACGTTTGAAAGGAAGAGTATCGTTTTCAATAGTCGCAATTCGAAAATTACAGGTAAAGCGGAAGAAAGAGTGAAGGAATTGATGCGGAGAGCCATGGCCGCTGTCCACCGCAGTTTGGTTCACCTTATCTGAAATGAAAATTTTAAATCAAATTACTCCAAATAGTTCGCCAAATCTTAGCTTTTACCTTGTGAAAGTTTATGCAAATAAGTGTTTTACTTTTATGTATGTACTAACACGTACAGGTCTGCTTTTTATAATAGCTACGAGCTTAAAATATTAAATCGTATTATTATTATTTTTATTTTAAACTATTTTTATAAAAATAGTAAAAGATAATATATTGTTGCCTAACACTTAATAGGCATAAAGAGAAAGAGAAATTAAAACTAAAAAGTTTGATCAATTTGTAAGAGAGTACAATGCGAATAAGAAGAACTTTTAAGTTGATGAAACCAAAGTTGTAAGACAAGTATTTATGAGAAGACACTCTCTTGATTATGATTACATCACGAGAATGCAGCAGTAGGCTACAAGATCAGTGCAACAATAGTTTGGAGAAAACTGCAAATTCAAGTGGTAATCGGTTACCTATGCGCTATAATCGATTACAAGCAGAAGAATTTGCCATGGTGACTAGGAAAAACGAAATTCAGTGAAGCGAGAAATGATATTTGGACTCTGAATGTTTTACTCATATGACGGAGAAGAAAGATTGGTTTGTTACAATCATCGTATCATGAAGAACAAAGTAAAGTTCGTGAATGATACCACTTTAGCGGCAGAAGAGATCAGTGATATATCGATCGAGAGAAGAGATGGTAGACATTCTTTGATAAATGATGTGTTGTATATTCTAGAAATCAAGTGTAATATGTTGATGTAAGCCCTAGAGGCTAATAGTTTTATTAGAACTTGGTACTTGTGATACGGTGGGAGAACTGACTTGAAGTTTTGCGTTTTGATCGCATTTGTGCGGATAGCAAGAGTCGCCACCGACTTTTCTTTTATCTAATAGGAAAGGTAAAAAAGCACAGGAAAGACCTTTCGAGATTATTTCTCGGATTCGGGGGGTAGATTATGAAAAGGGAAGGTATTAGCATCCTTTTCATCCGTAGTTATCTACGGGCTCTTAGTTACTCGCTAGATCACTTACTTTTGCTTTGACAATGTGCTTGTGATGTGGGCTTTAAAAATATTTTGAAAATGCCTTTGTAATGGTTCTTGTTTATATAAGAACGCGTACAAAGTTTTATTTTGGAAAATAGTTCAAAGATGTGTTTGTGGAATGTGTTTTTTTTAAAAATGATTTTGAAAAGATATTTTTGCAATGGTTCTCGTCTCTATAAGAACGTATATAAAATGTTTTGTCTTTTGAAAATGTTTTTGAGATGAAAGCATTGGTGTGAAAATGTTTTTGTTGTGAGCAAGCGAGTAACTAGGAGCGAATATACCTACTCGAAAGGTCTTAAATGTTTTTTTCTTCTTCCTTTAGATGTTGCTATCTTACCATTGATTTGGTAAGAAGCCCCATCGTTGGATGTGAAGGGACAAGCATGGGTCAATTTTACAGTCATCGAAAGCAACTTATAAGACGCTTTAGCAATTTTTGTAAGGGACTAGATCGTTTTACCGGAGGCAACATCGAGGGACTATGATCTTTTTTATCGAAGGGTCTTTGCTAAAGCGTCCCCATATTCGAGGAACATGACTGTATTTCCGAGGCAACGAGTGAGGTTACCCTAGAGGTGCGCGTGTGAAAAAAAGTGTATTCATTTCAAATTTAATTTTATTGAAGTTAGATTATCTAGCGATTGATTTTAAATCTTGCCATGCACGCTTAATTACTATACAGTAATAAGTAAAACAGTAAAATGCGGGAATTGAAATTCTACGCTATTACAAAGCTTCGGGAATGGGGGTACAAATTAATGAATGGGGTGATAATAAAAAATAAACATTTAAATCACACGATACAAGTCCAAACCGTTAAATAATTATTTAAGTTAAAACTTTTTTCATTTGATAAAATTAATTAATAATTTAATTAATAATGTCAAACAAAAATTATTTTAAAGTTAATAATTATTTAAAACAAATATTAACCTATCTGCAATTTTAAATATATACTGAAATATAAAACAAAAATCAAATAATTTAAAAATAAAGGATATAAGGGAAAAGTTTAGAAATGGGCCTGCATTGGAGTAAATCTGGGGGTGCAAAAATAAATCTGGCTGGCCCAAATAAAGGGAGAAGCCCAAAGCTCTGGCTGATCAGGTGCAACAGTCTCCTGGAGGCGCACCATGGGCATGCTCTTGTAAGGCGCTAAAGAGTATTGATTAGTGATGATATGAAATCAGACGGAGGGATGATGAGGGTACACAATCTGTTAGCGTGGGAATACAAACGCAGGATCTCTCAGGATGATTAAAGAGGTGATGACAAGTGTCACCACCAGATTGGGCATCAGGACGTAATTAACAAAAACAAAATTAATTAAGTGAATCAGCAAAAACTCATAACTCTCTTTTCTTTCTCTCTCCTCATACTTTCCTCATACGATGCTCTCTCTTCTCTCTTGTTGGATACCTTCACCGGAGAAGGCAGCTTGGTTGCGCCGGAAATCACCTTACGGCGGTGACGGCGGAAGCATGACTCCAATCCTTACTTTCCTTACATGAATCTGACTGTCTCCTCTCTCTAATTACTAATTTGAAGTTAATTTTTGCAGATTCTCAATCTAAAACCCTAGATCTAAAGAGGGGTGAACGGAACCCTAAGTCAAAGATGTAGCGAAAAATTGAGGATTTATGATGAAAGATGCAAAATGGAAAGCAAAAAATGTAAAGAAAAAGGAGAACGAAGGTCGTGTTCTTTAGATCCATGAGCTTCCAATCTTTCTGAAATTTGTCCTTCTGGTATTTATCTGAGCTTTTTCTCTTTTTCTGAATCTATGTTTGTTAGAATGTGTTGAAGTGATTTTTGGATAGAATAACGATGATGATTAGGGTTTGACTTTCTTGATGGCTTGCTATGTTTTTTGTGGGATTCTTTGTATGTAGCCTTGAATGGATTCTGAGGAGGGAACAATGATGAACAAAACATAGGCTTTTTGCTATTTTTTTGAGTTATTGGTTCACTGTGGGTTTTTGGTGATGGTATTTTTGATGTTGTATACTTGCTGGCTATTTTGTGTTGTTTCATATCTTACTGTGAAGGAGATAGGGCTTTTTTGGTGATGGTATTTTTTGTGTTTGTAAAAGAATGCAGTGGGTTTTATGGATGTATCCTCTCTTGGTGATTTTTTCGTCCCTTTTCCTTTTGACTTCTCTCCCTTAACAGTAAAAAATTGAAAAGAGAATGGGAGGGGAAAAAATAGTCCTTTGAAACTGGTGGCATATTGTGTTGATGTTTTTTTTGTTGCAGTTTCTATTTTTTTACCATTTTTGTACAAGTTTTGGGCAGGATTTGGACAGCTATGCAGAGTTGTAGCAGAAGCAGCAGGGCTATTTGTTTTGTGATAGCAGCTAGCTTGGAAATTTTAGGATTGCTAGTGTCCTAGGTGATATCTTTCCAAAACTTGTCTCTTTCTCTCTTCATATTTCTATGATACAAAGCCAAATTGCTTTTATACTTTTCTGAAGGGTTTGCTATCTTAGGAAAATGATGACAATTGTTTGTTTGAGCATACTTGCCTCCTTGCTATATTACAGTATTGCTACATTTTTGCACTAGCCTGCTGTTTATTATTTGTGTTGTGACCTATTTGCATTTCTGGCCCTGCTATTTTGCTTGTTGTTGATTTGCATTTTGTTGTTGTTGCTTGTTGTTTTGGTTTTCTGCTGCAGGCTTGTTTGGGCAACTTGTTTGCATGCTTTAGCATCCTGCTGCTAATCCTGCAGCTGCTGTTTGATTGTTGCAGTAATGTTGGGCTTTGTTGTACCCCAAAATTTTCCCTCTCATATTATCAAGATTTTCCTCACAAGACCTCTTGGACTCCAGACATGATTAGGGTTTGCTCAGCTCATGACATCTCCTTGCACTGATGACCTGAAATTAGGGTTTGAGTTTGCACAAGGATTTTTGGACCATCAATGCTTAATGTGACTTTCATATACCATCTTGGACCCCTAATATTGCACATACCAAGTTTCAAGCCTTGAATCATATTTTTACCCAGTCAATTGGACAGTTGACCTAAAAATCAACTGTATTGGGGAAAAAGTCAACCATGGCCAATTTACAGTCAAACTTCATAATTTTTGATCCACAACAACATTCTAGGCTCCTATGTACCATTTGATCAAGTTTGGATCACAACCCCTCAAGAAATTTGATCAGATCATCAAAAGGGCAAAATGGTCAAAATTAGGGTTTTAATTGAGAAAGGGCAATTTTTTATTTTTAACCTAGACAATGACCAATTAGGTTCAAGCATGATTTCAAAGACTCAATAGCATCATCTTAACCTAATCACATAGTTCAAAAGATCACAAATGCATAGGATTGACAGATGAATCTTCCAGTCAACTGATCAAAAATCAACTGTACACTGAAAAGTTAAACTTTGACTTTTTGGTCAAAATCAAGTGCCAAGGGTCATAATTAATCAAGATATGTCAAAATGTGAAACTTGTTGATCAAGAAATCTAGTTTTGCATATTAGGGTTTTAGTTTGAAATTTTTCATAACTTAGAATTTTTCTAAGTTATGAAAATTTCTTATTTTTTTCCAACTTTCCACAACTTTTTCACCATGATGCAATTGGATTCAAAGGAAACTTCCAACATGAAAGTTGTATTCCTCCATGAAATGTGCAACTTTTATTCACAAAGTTTTCCAAAAAGATGCTTGGATCTCAAGTTATGATTTTGTGAATAAGGGTTCATAAACTTTTTAACTTAGTGAAATTTTGCCCTAGTTTAGGCAGATTTTTGACCTAACTTCATGGCAACTTTTCACCTAGTTCCAAGAGGTATATCAAGTTTCATTTCAAAGATGGATTGTAGAGCATGTAACAAGATTTCCAAAATGTCCAAGAACTCTCCAAGATCATTTATGGTTAGGGAGAATCGAAGAAATGAAAATGGCA